CTTCCTCTCTTCCTACTCTTGCCGACCCGGAGTCGGACGCTCTTCGTGCTGCCAGTCCTACTGTCACGCGTCTCCTGGCTACTGCTGTCACTGACCCCTCCTTCGAGTCGTCTGCTGCGTCTGCCCTTGTCACGGAGCTTGTCGACTTTGCTGCGCGCTGTCGTCTAGACTACGCTGCTCGTCTTGTCACTGAGTCTGAGTCCGCCTGTCCTCCGTCCGTCGGGGGTGAGTGTGCCCTTGGCACGGACGTCCTTGAGGACAGGCAGGAGGAGTTCCAGTGTCTGGCCGCCGCTTCACCTCGTCTCGCGTCTGTACTGTTAGCCCCTGAGGGAGACCCGGATGCACCAGACATCCCGAATCCGCGCTCTTACGCGGAGGCGATAGAGGGTCCCTACTCCTCTCAGTGGCAGGCAGCTATGGATGCAGAGATGGCTTCCTGGAAGTCCACAGGCACCTACGTTGACGCTGTTCCCCCTCCTGGGGCAAACATCGTCAGTGGCATGTGGATTTTCAGGGTGAAGCGGCCGCCGGGTTCTCCGCCTGTCTTCAAGGCGCGTTACGTGGCTCGTGGCTTCAGTCAGCAGCAGGGGGTTGACTACTTTCAGACCTTCTCCCCCACCCCGAAGATGACCACTCTTCGGGTTCTGCTACACGTTGCTGCTCACCGTGACTACGAGCTGCACTCTCTCGACTTCAGCACAGCTTTCTTGCAGGGCAGCCTGCACGAGGAGATCTGGCTGCGTCGCCCACCTGGCTTTACTGGGTCTTTCCCTCCTGGTACTCAGTGGAGTCTCCGGCGTCCAGTCTACGGTCTCCGCCAGGCGCCACGTGAGTGGCACGACACACTGAGGACTACGCTCGCGGCACTTGGGTTTGCTCCTTCCACTGCCGACCCGTCGCTGTTTCTGCGCACCGACACCTCTCTGCCGCCGTTCTACATCCTCGTGTACGTCGACGACTTGGTCTTTGCCACAGCTGACACTGCTGGACTTGCCTACGTGAAGTCCGAGCTGCAGAAGAGACACACGTGCACTGACCTGGGTGAACTGCGCAGCTACCTTGGCTTGCAAATCACCCGGGACAGAGCACGCCGCACCATTACCCTGACTCAGTCACACATGGTGCAGCAGGTCCTTCAGCGCTTCGGCTTCACGTACTCCTCGCCTCAGGCCACTCCTCTGCCTACTCGCCACTCGCTCTCAGCTCTGCCTTCGGATGAGTCCGTAGAGTCGAGTGGCCCGTTTGCAGAGCTTGTTGGCTGCCTCATGTACCTGATGACCTGCACACGACCTGACCTCGCATACCCTCTTAGCATTCTTGCACGCTTTGTTGCTCCTGGGAGACACCGACCAGAGCACATGGCTGCAGCGAAGAGGGTGTTGCGCTACTTGTGCAGTACGTCGGGCATGGGGCTAGTGCTTGGAGGGCGCAGTCCAGTGGTCCTCACTGGGCACGCAGACGCTTCTTGGGCTGACGACCAGGCTACGCAGCGGTCGTCACAGGGTTACACCTTCAGCCTTGGTTCCGGCTCTGTCTCGTGGCGGGCTACCTGCTCGTCTTCTGTTCTCGGCTCCAGTTGTGAGGCTGAGATCTACGCTGGGGCTATGGCTGCACAGGAGTTACGCTGGCTCACCTACCTGCTGACCGACCTTGGAGAGCAGCCTCGTTCTCCTCCAGTCCTGTACGTAGACAACAAGGCCATGCTGGCCTTGTGTCGAGAGCAGCGACTGGAGCACAGAACGAAGCACATTGCTCTTCGCTACTTTCTTGCTCGTGAGCTACAGCAGCGTGGACAGCTGCGACTTGCGTACGTGGCCTCTGAGGCCAACACTGCTGATGTCTTCACCAAGGCACTTGCGCCTTGTGATCATCAGCGTTGCTGCACGCAGTTGGGTCTTGTGCCTGTCTTGCCTCACTTGCTCTCCTCTTGACCTTGCTTGTACTTTCGCATATATATACTCTTGCTCTTGTATATCTCTATATATGATCTTGCATGTGAACTGGCCTTCTGGCCTTTGAACTTGTGCTCGGAAGGCGTGGTGACTTTGTGATCCACCCTGAGCTTTGCTTTGCTTTGCTTGACCGGTCTTGTGACCCCTTGTTCTCCCCCACTTTGCCTATGGGGGTGTGTCAGAACTTATAGCTTACTTGTTTCTGTAGGCTATAGTGGGGTATCCCATAGGGGGTACAACCCAATTAGGGTTTCCTATTTGTACTCACTTCGTTCATAGTCATTCCACTTCTCGTTTGTACTTTCTCACCTTCTGCTGCTTCCACCGCTCCTTCCTTAGTCTCGCCTGCTGCAGCCTCTGTTGCTGTCTCTGCTGGGTAGCATGCAGGGGACTTATGCAAAGAGTCCTAAGGAATTCTCAAGAGCCAAGGGCCATCAATTTCAGCCTCGCTTCTACCACTCCTGCTGCTGCTGCTGCTGGCATTGCTGCTGCAGGTACTCGCGAATTCAATGCCAGCCTGCCTCTCCTCACCCGGATCCGTCTCGACGAAAAACAAACCTCCAAGCGAACAGTGACCAACTCCTCGCCTTTCCAGGTTAGTGATTCCCCTATTCTGCTGGCGCCACTGCTGCTGCTGCTGCTGCTGCTCATCTTGATGCTGCCACCCAGGTTGTTGTGGCAAGAGATACTGACAATTCGTGTGTGTGTGGCTGCGCTGCTGCTGAATGCGAATGGCCCGTCTCCCAAGGACGACACCAAAGGGCCCTTCAGCAAGGGCGTCCCAGGAGAAGGCTGGCAGACGGATGAACTGAAATGAGCGGTGATAGAATGAAGAGTGACAGACGAGCCAATAGAATGAGGAGCGATACAGGGAAGGGCAAAAAAAGGCGATACAGGGAGAAGGAGGGGTCACAAGATATGATTAACAAATAAGGAGCGATGGAATCAGACGTGGCAGATTCTGCAGAGCCACAGTGTGAAGTAATATAGGCGTGACCAGGATAAAGAGTTGACAGAAACCAGCACAGAATTGGGGAGAGCATGGCAGGAAAATGTACACACTAGTGAGTGCTGCAAATCCAATCAGCGATGCTCTTGTGTTGCGAAATGCCTCAAAACACGTCCTTGCAGACACCCATCCCCCCCCCTTCCCCCCCAAACCTGAAACTCCTCTTGTTGTGACCCCACGTTGTCTCCCTCCTCCCCCACCCTACCTCATCCAACCATATCCCTTCAGCCCTCCTTCATTCCCTCACGTAGAGGTTGCATGTGCACATGACGTGGCACACTAGGTGTGTCAAGCACAGCTCATTCATCAACATTCACACCTCCACCAGCCAACCAGCACCTCATGCTGCAATTCCTTTTATTTATGGCAGCAAAATCTTCTTGACTACCTGATTCGACTGTGTCGCAAGAAGACTAAAAATGTCGGCCTCCGAACATTCGCCAAGCTCCCCTGCTTCACCAAGGGCGTCAGCGTCATTATCCGTCACGGCAGTGTCGGTGGTTCCACCAAAGGAGTTGCTGTTGGCACTGGTACAAGAGGAGTCGTCTGAAGTATCACTGCTGCTGCCAGTGACGCAACGCTCCTGCAACTTCAATTTCTGTAGCATTCCATCACGCTGTTATTGATTATACAAGGAAGGGGAGAAAAGCTTGGGCCTAAACTCATTCTTCAAAATTGTTTTTCGTGAAAAATCAGTAAAAAACATACGTAAGTTCCGTTGGCTAATGATTACAAGTTGAATGCGTGTACACACCTGCGCATGTTCTCCATCACCGCACTCCACGCCACGTCCCCCCCCTCGCCCTCCAACAATGCTCTCCAGTTCGCGCCTCGCATGCCCCAGCCACGCAAGCACCGCACCACCGCAAGCGTCGACTGCAAGCAATGGTGCTTGCTCCGTGCTTGGTTTCAACATGCCTTGACGTAAGCGTGGGGACTGACGATGATCCTGCCCAGGTGATGCTTGTGGAGGAGTGGCAGTAGCTGCAGTGGTGGCAGCTGGGTGCGAGCGGGCCGCAGTGCTCGCGGATTCCTCCACCAACGCGCGGAGTGCGTCGAGTTGCAGAGCAACACATAGGTCGCATGGGAACGACGAATCGTTACGCAGTAGTTTAACAAAAATATATAGAAATTAGACGCGGCAGGTTCCCTACAATGCTCTTAACTTTCAGACCCGCTGTCCTCACTATCCCGCCTCACCTCGTCTCGGATCTTGTCCCACCACCGGCAGTCCAGCCCGCGCGAGACCATGTCGCCTCGCGCCACCTGCATCACATCTCAGCACAAGCCTTCAGGCAAGGAAGGGGACGAGGCTGAACGGGGAGAGGACTGAACGGCGGTATGTGCGCGAGTAATCAGCACACTATGCGTGGTGCTGCAAGCGCGGCGTTTCCACTCACCCTTCCCGTCCCATAAAGCTCATCATAATCCGAAGCAGCAAGTGCGGTCGTCCTCGCACTGCCTCCTCCCGTACCCTCCCCTTCCTGCTCCTCCTCACTGTGACTCTCGGTGACCAGCCCGCACTCCTCGCCAGTCGCCTCGTCGCCCTCGCACGAGAACGACAGTCGGCGAAACACCGCCGTACTCAATCCCGATCGCGACCTCGAGAGCGCGGGGCGGCTCCTAGTTGGAGTAGAGCCACTGCGCTCACTCGCTCCAGTACCCACGCGAGCGCTACAAGCTGTGCGAGCAGAAGCAGCAGGACCAGAATCTGCGCGAGGAGCATCACCCGTGGTCCCAATTTCTGCCAGCAAGTCCCAATCTGCCATCTGCGCGTCCACCACATTCCACGCCGCTCCCGCTTGGCGCGCCGAGGCTGCACTGCCAGCCGACGAGGGTGCGTTGAGATGGTGCTGTTGCACGTATCGAGGATGACAGCATCGCGAACGGGCCCCCTTGACTCTGCTGCTCTTGCTGCTCCCACCTCCCGCCCGACCAAACAGCGCGTTGCTATCACCCGCACTCTTGCCGCCCACGTCGCAGCTGCCCTCAACGCTGTGGCTTCGAAGCAGCTTGTTGCTTGTGCTCGTGCTTCCGCCTCAGCCATCCCTCTCGTTCCGTTTACGGCCAGAGGCGCACGCGGAAACAGCGCTGCTGCACGCGGAATGAGCACCACTGTTGCTGCCGTCCGCAGAACTAGCTCCAGCAATCGCGCCGGTCGTAGCAGGCGTACCGGTAGCAGGGGGGCGCGAGAACGTGGAGAAGCTACGTGACCGCCGCAGCATCATGGCGCGGGCTGCCGCTTGCTGCGGCGCTCTTGCTGACAATGGCGACGCGCCCGCCTCGCCTCTTGACTTCGCGCCTGCTGACGGGGCGGCAGCAGATGCAGCAGGAGGAGAGGGGAACGACGCGGATGGTGACCTCCATAGCGACGACGACGAGTTGTGACGAGCGTCCATCGGCTTCGCACGCGGGCTCGCATGGCCGCCACGACGACTGGCCAAGGCTGACTCACAGGCTCGGGTGCTGACGTCGGATGAGTCAGAAGCCACCGAACCAGCACTCGACGCGGCATCCGTCGACGCCACCACGCCAGCGGGCTTGTGGGCGGACTTAGCGGCCACTGCCTCTTTTGAAGGCTGCGCCACGCGATTGCTGCTGGGACTCCCGCCTAGCCCCGGCCCATGACGGAAACCCTGACGGAATGAAAGCGACTCACGATCGTCCAGCGACTTCTGCTGGCAGTGTCAAGGCAAGTGCCCATGCGCACTTTGGTCTTCGTGGCGCTGGCGGTGCGCGGAGCGACTCTGACCGGCGTGCAGCGATCCTTTTCGCGTTGAGCTACTAGTAGCGCGATATGCCAAAATATCGGCGGCGGTGAGTATCCCACTCCCCACACTGCTGTCCGTCGTCCCACTTCCGTCCCTCTCCGAGCCACCACCACCACCACCACCACCACCACCAGCACTAGCACCAGCACCGGAGGGAACACCATCATCTCCTCCCGGACTATCTCCCGCACTATCGCTTGCACTCAGGGCGGGTCGACGCAGCGAGAACGGTGAAGGGGAGCCTCGGATGCCGCCATCGCCGCCGCCAGTAGCTCCTCCATGGCGTGCTGCTGTGCTTGACGGATTGCCGGCCCGTCCACCGGCGGCCGTTAAAATAGATGACGCTCCCTCTCCATACTTGGGCGCTAACGGCGAGCCCGACAACGAGGACGGAGTGCGCTTCATGTGAGGGGTTAACGCGGGCGTAGGTGTGGCGCGGGCGGAACGGAGACGACTCGTCGCCTGAGCAGACACAGGCGCTTCACCGCCAGGGGCCACTCGGGGCTGCCGAGCGGGGAAAGGCCTTTCTTCGCGCCGGCAGACGGGGAAGAGTATGTCTGCGGTCGGCCAGAATCCCTTCCGATGGCCTTAAATACGAATGCCATGCTGCTCGAGCGACCTTCAGGAGCGTGGTTGGCGTCGGATTCGCTATAAGCTGACACGGAGGCCGATTCTGACGAGGACAATTCTGTGAGAAGAGCCCGCCTCTCCTCTTGAGACAACTCCGAATCTCGGCAACACGTCCCAGACGATCGCCACCTGCCTTCGCGCAACGCTTTAAATCTCTTTTGAATCTGCTTGCTGAGGCGAATCAGCAAGTATAAGCCGCGCAGCTTTGCCCCTAGGCGATGAGCTCTGTGCCTTCCACGAGGCGTAACTTTCAACGACTCGCCGTAACAATCATGGGAGGGAAAAAGGGTAAATTCCATCCCAAAGCCCGATAACTATAGACGATTGCGCCAACACTTGCTTCCCCTGTCATGCAGCCTTCACCTGAAAACCAGGAGTGAACCAGTCACATCTGACCGGGAAGCTTGCTCTGATGCTTCATGAAGAAACATAGGGAATAGTTGCTAGGTGACAATAGAGTAATTTGGGAGCGTAGAGAGAAAGGGAGGGGGGGGGGCGCCGTGGGTCAAAGTGTGCTGGCGGACTTACCTTGGGACTTCTTCTGCCGCACAGTCAGCAACACACCGCTCATGCTCGAGCTCGCACCATGTGCTGACCACCAGTCGCGCAGCTTGGCATGGCATGCCAGCTGCTTGCGGCAAGCTTGGAGTGGACTAACAGGCAAGATTCAAAACAGGGCTGCGTACTTGGCTGCAACTCGGATTAGTCCACGATTATACGAGTGGTTTTCTTGCATTATGCGAGTAAGTCGGCCACATGCAAGTAGCTGAGCGGGTGGACCGTTACGTCAAAGGGCTGAAGCCGGACATCTCACACAAAATCATGCTACACGGTGTGAGGATCTAGGATCGAGCTCATAAAAGAAAGTCTGAATTAAATCATCACCGGGATACAACAAGAGGCTATATATAGGCTCGACACAAGGCCTAGTAACCAGGTGTTACATGATGGCACTATGAAAGTTGGAGTACAAGTAGGAAACCCTAACTTTGTGTACCACCTAAAGGCTAACCCACTATAGCCTACACAATAATAACACATACAGTGTTTGACACACCCCCATAGGCAAAGTGGGGGAGAACAAGGAGTCACAAGACCAGTCAAGAAAGGCAATCAAGCTCAGGGTGGATCACAACGTCACCACACACTCCGAGCACAAGCAAAGGGCCACAAGGCCAGTTCACATGCACAAGTATATATAAGTAGTACGGACAGCAAGGGTGATCTCAACCTAGCAGTGCAAACAGGCAGGAGTATATATAGAGATGATAGTACAAGCAAAGCCTACGACAAGTGAGGAAAAGTGGGCATTAGCCCCAACAAAGTACAGAAGCACCGATGATCACCAAGCTGAAGTGCCTTGGTGAAAATATCAGCGGTGTTGACCTAAGAGGACACGTAGTGTAGACGAAGCTGACCACGCTGCTGCAGCTCACGAGCAAGGAAGTAAAAGAGAGCGATGTGCTTCGTTCTGTGCTCCAGTCTGTGCTCCTCACACAAGGCAATGGCAGCCTTGTTGTCGACGTACAGCACTGGAGGAGAACTACCGCTCTCCAAGGTCGGTCAGCAGGTAGGTGAGCCAGCGTAACTCCTGTGCAGCCATGGCTGTGGCGTAGATCTCAGCCTTACAATAGGAGCTGAGAACCAAAGACGAACGAGTAGAGCGCCACGAAACTTAACCAGAGCCAAGGCTGAAGGTGTAACCCCGTGACGACCGCTGAGTAGCCTGGTCGTCAACCCAAAAAGCGTCTGAGTGCCCAGTGAGAACAACTGAGCGACCTCCCCCAAGCACGAGCCTGATGCCTAATGTACTGCACAAGTAGCGCAATACCCTCTTTGCAGCTTCCCAGTGCACCTTTTGGTGACGACCAGGAGCCACGTAGCGAGCCAGAAGGCCAAGAGGGTATGCTAGGTCTGGACGAGTGCAAGTCATCAGGTACATGAGGCAACCAACTAGCTCTGGGTAAGGACCACTCGACTCTACAGACTCATCTAAAGGCTGAGCTGAGAGCGAGTGACCTATAGCCAGAGGAGTGGCCTGTGCTGAGGACCACGTGAAGCCGAAGCGCTGAAGGACCTGCTGCACCATGTGTGACTGAGTCAGGGTAATGGTGCGGCGTGCTCTTTCCCGGGTGATCTGCAAGCCAAGGTAGCTGCGCAATTCACCAAGGTCTGTGCACATGTGTCTCTTCTACAGCTCCGACTTCATGTGGGCGAAAGACTCAGTGTCAGGTGTGGCAAAGACCAAGTCATCGACGTACACGAGAATGTAGAACGGCGGCGGCGAAGTGTCGGTGCGTAGAAACAGCGACGGGTCAGCAGAAGAAGGAGAGAACCCAAGTGCAGCAAGAGTAGTCCTCAATGTGTCGTGCCACTCACGTGGCTCCTGGAGGAGACCGTAGACCGGCCGGTGGAGGCTCCACTGGGTACCAGGAGGGAACGACCCAGTGAAGCTAGGAGGGCGGCGCAACCACATCTCCTCGTGCAGACTGCCCTGCAAGAAAGCAGTGCTAAAGTCAAGAGAGTGAAGCTCGTAGTCGCGCTGAGAAGCAAACGGCAGTAGTACCTAAAGAGTGGTCATCTTCGGGGTGGGGGAGAAGGTCTGGAAGAAGTCTACTCCCTCTCGCTGACTGAAGCCTCGAGCAACGTAACGAACCTTCAAGACAGGCGGAGAACCCGGCGGCCGCTTCACCCGGAAAATCCACATGCCACTGACGATGTTCGCCCCAGGTGGGGGAACCTCGTCGACGTAGGTGCCTCTGGACTTCCAAGAAGCCATCTGTGCGTCCATGGCTGAATGCCACTGTGAGGAGTAGGGACCCTCAATCGCCTCAGCGTACGATAAAGGAGTCTTGATGTCTGGTGCATCCGGGTCTCCCTCAGGGGCAACTACCATGGACACGAGATGGGGCGCAGCGGCTGCAAGACACTCAAGATCCTCGTGTCTGTTCTCAAGGACGTCCGGGCTAAGAGCACACGCACCCCTGACAAATGGAGGACAGACAGACTCCGACTCAGCGACAAGACTAGCAGCGTAGTCTAGAGGACAGCGAGCAGCAAAGTCGACAAGCTCAGCAACTAGAGCAGACGCAACAGCAGACTCAAAGGAAGGGTCAGTGACAGCACTGGCCAGGAGACGCGTGACAGTAGGATTGGCAGCACAAAGAGAGTCCAACTCCAGCACCCCCAGCACCTCCAACACCCGGGTCCGCAGCACCAGCAGCAGCTCCAACTCCAGGGTCCGCAGCACCAGTAGCAACCCCAACTCCAGGGTCCTCAGCACCAGTAGCAGCTCCAACGCCCGGTTCCACAGCACTAGTAGTAACCCCAACTCCAGGGTCCGCAGCACCAGCAGTAGCTTCAACGCCCGGGTCCGCAGTACCAGCAGCAGCTCCAACGCCCGGGTTTGCAGCACTAGTAGCAGCTCCAACACCAGGGTCTGCAGCACTAGGAGCGCCACTCCTGCGTACCACTCACGAAGATGCTGGGGAGATGGCAGCTCCCGCCTAGGCGAGGAAGCATGAGCACTAGCTCCAGCAGCACCCCTGGCTCCAGAAGCACCTCTCCTGAGGCCGCAGTACTGTAAGTACCACAGCAGCAGCTGCTGTGAGGAGAGAGCTCCTCAAGGCGTAGCACTCCCAGGCTCAGCACCCCCACACTTAGCACAAGCAGGCTCCGTACTCCTAGGCTCAGTACCCCCAGACTCTGCACTCAGCACCCCCAGTCTCCGCAACCCCAAGCTCCGCACGCTCAGGCTCAGCACCCTGAGCAGGACGAGAGTCGACAGCTACCTCGACAGGCTCAACCGGGTCTTCTTGGGACACACTTGAGGGAGCGGCACCCTGAGGGGGGAGGGGGTCTACTGCAGCAGCACCTGGCGCGAGGAAGAGAGGCGGGGGAGGGAGCGGGGCAGTGCAGTAGGGGAAGAGGCGGTAGAAGGGTACCGACTCGTCAAAGGTGATGTCGTGAGAGGCAAGGACACGGCGCGAGGTGGGGTGGTAAAACTGCCAACCAGACGCGTCCGGAACAAAGCATAGGAAGACACACGGAACAGCGCGGGAGGAGAGCTTGTCCGTGGACGTATCGCGAACAAAACCTTGGGATCCCCAGACCCAAAAACGCGACGCATCGCCAACCTCTCCCGTCCAACGCAATGTCGGGGAGGTCTCCGGCAAGTAGGCACGGGGCCAGAGGTTGAGCTGATGCGCAGCGTATCGGACCGCAAATGGCCACAGAAAGTGGGGGGCAGCCGCATGGATCAAGGAGGTACGAGCGACCTCCATGACCAAGCCAATGCGGCGCTCAGCAACCCCATTCTGTTGTGGAGAGGCCGAAAGCGTGAACGACTGCCGGATGCCGTGCTCCGCACAGTAGGCTGCCAAGAGGTCGGAAGAGAATTCACCACCTCTGTCAGAGTGCAAGCGTAGGACAGGAAAGTCCGGGTGGAAACGCTCGCTGAGCTGAAGACGAGAAGCGCGGATCCAAGGGATCAAAACATCAGGGAGCTCACCCTTGGTGCGCAAGGGGAAGACCGTGGTGTAACGCGAGTAGTCGTCAACAACTATCAGGAAGTACCTTTCCTGACTATGACCACGGACGTGGGCGGGGCCCCACACGTCCATGTGGAGCGTCTGCAAGGGAGCAGTCGTCGGGGGAAACGAGGAGGAGTGAGGAGCAGCGCGCTGCCGCCCCTCGACACAGGGAAGGCAGGGAGGAGCAGGCAAGGGTGGGAGGGGAGGGAGAACCCTAGGAAGACCAGAGACAAGGTGCCGTTT